CCGCCCTTTCAAAGGCCCCTCGCGGCCCCTTCGCGGCCCCGTCGCCGCCCTTACGCGGCCCCGTCGCCGCCCTTTCAGCGGCCCCGTCGCCGCCCTTTCAGCGGCCCCGTCGTCCCCGCCCTTCAGCAGGCCCCGTCGCCCGCCCTTTCAGCGGCCCCACCGCCGCCCTTCGAGCGGCCCGTCGCCCACCCTCTCAGCGGCCTCGTCGCCGCCCTTCCGCGGCCCAGTCGCCGCTCTTCATCGGCCCCAACGACGCCGCCGCCAGCGGCCCCGTCGCCGCCACTTGCGGCCCCGACCCCGCCCCGGCCATGCCCCATCGCCAGCCGCGGCACACCGGGGGCACGTGCACCGCCCCCCCCCCCCCCTTTTCCCGTCACCCGTCGCGGCTCCTTCGGGGGCCGCTCGCCCCCTCTGCCGCCTGCTTTGGCGCCCGGGGAGGCCGTGCGTCGGCCCCCCCCCCCTCCCTTCCCCCTTCTCCTTCGTCTCCCTGCAGCTGCAGGGGGGAGGGTCTGGGGGTGGCGGGTGGGGGTGGTGTGTTTCCCTTCCCCTCCTCCTCCTTTCGTTCCCACTACTGCAGCTGCTGCTGGGGGGAGGGTGTGAGGGTGTGGGGGAGCCGGGGGAGTGGCACTGGGGTGGCAGGTGTGAGACCAACCAGCACCCGTCCCTCCACCTCTCCTCTCTTCCCCCCCTCTGCTGCTCCTGCAGCAGTGTGTGGGGGAGGGGGAGGGAGAGGGGGAGGGTGAGGGGATGGAGTGGGTGACCAACCAGCTCTATTACCTTGTCTGTTGTTGCTGCAATCTTTGCACTTGGTGTACCTCTACAGGAGGTGTACTACACACGGTTCTTCACTGCATGCAGCTAGGGGGTGTGTCAGAATGTAATTGTATACATTACTATAATTGCCTGTAGTGTAGACCTAGTGTATTTATATTGCTTTCATGTTAGGTGGTGCACCCTTTTCTTTCACTATATCTTGTACAACTTTCTATAGTGAAACCCTCATTCTCCTTCCTAAACTCTCTCGACATTTCCTTACACCCCTTCAACTCGAACTCGATCACTAAACCTTCTCCTAAGCTACTATGGCTCCTAAGCCCAACTCGACTTAGTACTTTGACAGCCATTGCCGGTTCCGATGGCGATATCGCTTGCGTCGGTAACTAATTCGAATGGGCGGTGTGGGTCGGCGATGCGCAGGACGGGCGGTGAACAGAGAACATTTTTCAGGGTAGAGAAGGCAGCATGCTCTTTCTCCCCCCACGTAAAAGCGACCCCCTTCCGTAGTAAAACCGTCAGTGGGGCAGTTAACCGTGCCATATCGGGGACGAACCGACGCACATAATTAACGAACCCTAAAAAGCTTTGCAGCTCCGTGATGTTCATCGGGGGATGCCACGCTTTTACCGTATCCAGCTTCTTTGGGTCGATTTCAACTCCTGCCTCCGAAATAACGTGCCCCAAAAATTCTAACCTATCCTGGAAGAACTCGCACTTGGAACCCTTGGTCAGTAATCTGTGCTCGATTAAAACCTTAAACACTGCTTCCAGATCTGCTAAGTGCTGCTGCTTATCCTGACTGTACACTAGAATGTCGTCAAGGTAAACTATTACACATTTATCTAAGAGCGGCCTAAATGCCTCGTTCATGGTCATCTGAAAAGTCGCCGGTGCGTTGGTCAGCCCGAATGGCATCACAGTGTACTCGAACGACCCGTACCTAGTCCTGAAAGCTGTTTTGGCGCAGTCCGATGGTTCGACCCTAATCTGATGGTAACCTCCCCGTAAATCTATTTTCGAAAAAAACCCGTGCTGTTCGCAGTTGGTCGATCAGTTCGTCGACGCGGGGAATGGGGTACCGCGACTTGACTGTTACCCTGTTCAGTGCACTGTAGTCGATACACATGCGAAAACCCCCGTCTTTTTTCGGCGTGAATAGTATCGGTGCGGCAAACGGTGACGAGCTCGGTCTCATTATTTTTTTCTCTAACAGGTAATCTAGCTGCTTCCTTAGTTCGTCGAGCTCGGGCTGTGTCAGTCTAAACTGGCGCTGTACGGTTGGCTGTGCCCCCGGTTCTAATTCGATTCGGTGGTCATGTGCTCGCTGAGGTGGCAGTCCTTCCAGTAAGTCGTCGGGGAAAATCCCGGGGTATCGTTTCAACAGTTCCTATAATTCGGGCGGTACGGCTGCCAGCAGCTTCTTGAAACCACTCGGGTGCTCCGCTTCCTCTATTTCTGCGATGTCTACTGCGTACACGTCAGCTCCAACAGCGACAACCCGTTTCATTGTGATGGCGTTGACGTGTACCGTTGAAGACTCGGGCGACTGCCAGCGAGGTAGCTCGACCCAGTTATCACTACTTCGCACGGTGCAGCTACCCGTCGTCCAGTCAATTCACGGGTTATACCGTCGCAGCCAATCACGTCCCAGTAAAATATCGTGCCCATCCAGTGTCGTCGCGAGCATTTCCTGTGTAAACCCGAAGCGGACGTTGACTCTCTCTACCTTTTCCCGTATGGCCAGTGGCGTGCCGTCGACTAAGCGTGCGTCTATCTCCGGTAAGCAACGACTAAGTGTCAGCTGCAGTTTTCGTGCGGTTGCGGTATTAACTAAACTGTGGCTTGCTCCTCCGTCGATAGAAATCTTCACTGTTGCTCCCTGTATTTTCCCGTGGATCAGTACTGGGCAATCCGTCGCTGTACCCTCCTTATTCGTCCGAGTCCGATCGATAGCATGAATCGGTACTGTGACTCGGTGAGGGTCGGTGGGGTTGGGCGAGCAGGCAGTCTCGTCAGTAGTTGGCCCGATTCCTATTGACTGCTGGCGTTTCCCTGCTTTGGAGACTCCCTCCCCTGCTCTGCTCCGCGGCGCCTTAGTTCCTCTGGGCATTCGCTCTTGCGATGGCCCGGCCTGTTGCAAGCAAACCAGCGCCCCTTAAACGGCGCGGCAGCTGCATTCGTCGCAACAACGTGTACAGTGGCATGCTCGATCGGTCCCCGAGGACGATGTCCATAGTAGGACCCCGGTCTCGGACGGCGTAAAATGTCGATTTTCTCGGCGAGCGCGAGAATCTCGTTGAAGTTCGAGAGCCCGCGTAGCATGATTTCGTGCGAGATGTCCGGCTTTAGCCCTCCGACGTAACGGTCCACCCGCTCCGCTTCGTGCATGTAGCCGACTTGCTCGCATAATGCGAGAAAACCACTCGTATAGTCTTGAACCGATCCAAGCTGCCGCCAAGTGCGCAATCTCTGACGCGCCGAAATAAAAGCCGCGATCGGCTCGAAGCGCGCTCGAAGCGCGCCCGAAGCCCTGCGCACCACGCATCCCACGTGCTGTATTGGGCGGTCTCGCAGAATGAACTCCAGGTGACAGCTGGGCCCGTGGGCCCTTCCTCTTGCGACGATGGCTCGTAGGCGCGTGGCGACGTCACGATGACTCGCCACCAGTCCATGGCGGGGCCCCTTAGCAGCGAAACGGCATACCGAATCTTCGCTGTGTCCGACTCGACGTAATTCGCGTCGAAGAAGACGTTCATCGTGAAGACCCAGGATTGAACCGTCGGACCTCCACGCTGGCTCGGGTCGAAGCAGGGCGGGCGTTGCGGCTTGAGTGGCATTGGTGCCATAATGGTCTGTTCGCCACTTGTCGCCGCGAACTCCACGTGTCGACGGGCTTCGCGAGGCTCCGGCGACCTTGGTGCGACCCTGTTTCCTCCCATGCCAGGCATCGGCTGGGCGGCGCCATCGCTGGCTGCGCCTGAGCGCTGTCCCACGCTGTTGTTTTGTGTTGGTGTGCCGGACGAGATGACGATCGGCTCGTCTGATTGTGCAGTTGCATTTGTCGGTGCGTGTGGTGGCGGTGGAGTGTTCATCGTTGATTGCTGACGCGCGGAGTCACGTTCCGCCGTGAACGTCGCAATTTCGAGCGCCGAATCTTCAAGTTAGCGCACCAGACGGTCGAGCTGCTCCTACGTCAATGTGGCGAGCGTGAATTCGGCCATGGCGGGGGTGTCGGGCGAGCTCAGCGAGAGCCTCGGTCGTGGCCGTGGGTGCTTACGAGAGAGCACTACGAGCGGCGGTGCTTTGTCGCTGAGAGACGTCTACCCCCCCCAAAATTGAGATAGTGGGGAAGTGAAGGTGTGGGTGCGGTCCGAGAGGAGATCGTAGGCTCTGAATACCAAGTGTTACGAGTGCAATTGAGTGAACGAACGAGAATTGCACTATCGAAGCAAGAGTACAATGAGCGAATGCATGAGCGAAGAATATACAGCGAAACTACAGTGGTAACGGTAATGGACTGTGGTTGTCGCGCGACGAGCCTGGGACTGAGGTTGGGAAAAAGTGTCGAAGCGAAGGCCCGGAGCGCGGGTTACCCGCCGAGCCGTGAGGTCGGGGTGCGATGTGCGAAGGTGGCGGGCGGATTGACGATGCGAGGGTTGCGAGTGGTAACGGTGCTGACTGTGGTGCTACAGTGATGTACGCGTTGAGCAGGGATGCGAAGTAAGGAAAAGGAATTTTCCTTACACTTGTCTACAATGAGTGTTTTTTTTCCCGCGTCTTTACAGATTTCCTAGCAAGAGTGATGCTATGGTCTAACTGACCGTCACGTTGACACCCAACCACCCTTCCCTTCTGCCCTCGAATTCATCGCTGCAATCCCGTTCCCCTTGTCACCTTGGGCACTCATCCCGGTGCGCGACATTTCAAATTCTCAAGTTGAGAAATCTCCACCACCTCTCCTGCCTGCCTCCCTTATCGAACCCTCTCGTCGCTGCCTCGCGCGTTCGCCTCTGTCGCTCTCTTACTCCCCCTCCCACGCCATCAGCACCACGTGTCGCGCGTTATCTACTCGTATTTTCGAGGGCTGTCGGTAGGCAGTAGGTGAGGCGCGACTGCTGGCGAGTATAATATTGTTTTCCGCAATCCCTTTTGTGACAGCAATTGTTGCGTCGCACACAGTTTTGCTGTCGTTACACGTTGCAGCGGCTGGTGGCTGATCCGCCATGCGCGGAGCAGATGCGCGCGCGACGATCGACGGGCGGGAGGAGCGGGAGGAGCGGGGGGCACTGGAGGAGCGGCACTTCTCGCGGGGTGTGCGGAAACGAGAGGCGGAGCGGCTGGGGTTGAAGGCGGGAGAGAAGTCCGAGAGTGTTCTGGACTCGCCAGGTAGCAGCGCGCGCCGGCAGGAAAAGGCGCATATGGCGGGCGATGGGGACGGCGGCAAGCGGCGGAACGGGAGAGTGAACGCGGAGGCGAATGGCGGAATACTGGGGAGTGCGTGGAAGAAGGCGCGGAGAGGTGCAGCGAGCACACAGCTGTCGGAAGCCCAGGGGGAAAGCGGAAGAGAGGCGGCGGGGGCGAGCGGAGCGGGTGCAGGTAGAGCTGAAGGCAGTGCGGGTAAGATGGCGGAGGGGGGCGCAGAGGGCGCCCGAAGAACGAGGGACGCGGAGGGGGAGGCGGAGGGAGGGCGATTAGTGAAAACGGTGGGCTTTCATGGAGGAAAGGTGGCGCGGAGAGAAGTTGCGCGCGTGGCGGCTATTGGTGGCAGTGGTGCTGCTGGTCCAGGCGCGGGAGGAGGAGGAAGAGGGAGGAGGGGAGGGGTATCTGGTGGGCGGTTGGTGCGGTTTGCAGAGGAGAGGGCGGAAAGGGGTGAGGGAAGGAGCGATCACGCAGAGGAGAGTGAAAGGGCAGCATGGGGCGTGCTGGGGAGCGTGTCTGAGATGATTGCATGCCTGCATGCCGCCATGCACATGCGCGTTCCTATCACATCCCTCCCATGCCTGCATGTGCACTCCTTGGGTGCACCACCCACGCCACCCACACCACCCTCGCCTCCTTCACCTCTCGCACCACCTCTGCTCCTCACCCCCCTGACAGCACCAACGCACAAGCAGCCAGTGCAGCCCGCAGAAGCAGCGCCAGCGCTGCATGTGGGTGCAGTGGCAGCAGCGGTGGGCGCTGAGCTGGCGCGGGTGGTGGGGCGTGCTTCGCCGTGGGATGCTGCTGGGGGCGCCGCGAGAGTGCAGCACTTGGCCCGGGCCATGCGGGCTGTGGTGAGGCGCAGGCGAGGAGAGGGAGGAGTGATTGGAGAGAAAGGAGAGAGGGGAGAGAGAGGAGAGAGAGTAGATAGAGGAGAGAGCGGAGAGAGGAGAGAGCAAGGAGAGCAAGGAGAGCAAGGAGAGGGAGGAGAGGGAGGAGAGACAAGGGAGAGGGGGAAGAGAGGAGAGGGAGGAGGGAGAGGAGAGGGAGGATTGGGAGGAGAGGGGGAAGAAAATGGAGGTAAAGGAGAGGTGGAAACGGGAGGAGCGAACGGTGAGGGAAATGGTGGAGAGAGGGATAGTGGCAAGGGAGGGAAGGGAGAGGAAGAGGGGCCAAACGGGATTGGGGAAGGGGGTATGCAGGCTGGGGCAATGGCAGGTGAAGAAGCACGGAAAGCAAGGGCAGGGAACCGTGGTGAGCTGTTAGGCGACTCTGATGCTGCTGGTTCTGGTGGTGGTTCAGGTGCTGCTGCTGCTTGTGGTGCTGATGGCGCTCGTGTCGCTGATGCTGTTGGTAGTGCTGGTGGTGATGGTGCCGGTGGTGCTGGTGCTGGTGATGGGGGCTTGGGTCAGGAAGGGGCGGAGGGGAGGCACGAGGCAGCACAGCAAGGCGGGCATGGGGCTGCTGCTGCACCGGACACGGGTGCTGCCATGGACACTGAGAGTGCTGGCCATGACACCACGCACATGGAGGTGCATGTCCCGCAGCAACCCCAGGCTTCCCTGTATGGTGGGTGCCTGTGTGTTGTGGGCACGCTTATGCACGCACTCCGCACCATGTCTTCCTTGCTTCAATCCCCTGTCTGTGAATTCCCACCCACCCCTCTTACTCTTCCCCCTGTTGAATTCTTTTTGTCCTCCCCTCCCTGGCAGCACCTCTGTCTTCCCTTCAACCACAGCAGCAGCAGCAGCAGCAGCAGCCCAGCACCGAAAATCACCCTCCGCCACTGCCATCCATCACCGTCACTGCACCCGTACCCGCTGCCCCCCCGGCACAGGGCAGGGCAGCATGGGGGGGGCGGTGGGGAATGGAGGGGGCAGTGGTGGCGGGGTCAGAGCGGTGGGGCGAGGAGGAGGCAGGGCGTGTGATGGCGGAGGTGGCAGCGGGGCATGGCACCATGGTGTTGCTCCGGGATGAACAGCAGCGCATGGCAGCAGCTGTGGCGGCCATGCACATGGCGTATGGCATTGAGGCGCCACCACATGGCGGGGATGGCTCAGAGGCTAGTGATCAGGTGATGCTGCTACGTGTGTGTGCGCTGCTCGCTCGCCCCTGCTGCTCACCCTGTGTGGCATGGTTGCCGTTTCCTGTGCCGTACGTGTCGTTAAGCATTTGCATCTTCTTACAATATACCATGCACGTGCATCCTTCATCAATGCACGATATCTCATTCCCTCATGCTGACCCTTCTTTCTCGCCATCCCTCCAACCCCCCCCCCGCCCTCCTTATCCCCCACCAGTCAATCAAGCAAGGCCACGCAACGCTGTCCGCAGCCCATCCCACTCACCCAGTGCTGCTGCTGCCATGCATGCTGGAGCTGCCAGTGCTGCCCTGCGCCGTGTGCACGCGCCCTGTCTCCTCGCGCACTGCTCTCATCTGCGACACCTGCGACCGCCCCATTCACACCCGCTGCCTCGCCACCTCCCCCGCTGCTGTCACCGGGAGGGGCAGAGGCAGGAGCCGGGGCAGGGGGCGGGGGCGGGGGCGGGGGCGAGGGAGGGGGGGGTGGCAAGCAGCGGTGGGGGAGAGTGTGGTGGAGGAGTGGCACTGTGGTGCGTGCAGGGCCCAGCGTGAGGCCAGTGGTCAGGTGGTTCTACCCAAGTATGGGCCGCTTAGGGCACGGGGTGATGCTCGTGCTGCTCAGGGTGCTGCTCAGGGTGCTGCTCAGGGCGTTGCTCAGGGTGCTGCTCAGGGTGCTGCTCAGGGTGCTGCTCAGGGCACAGCACCATCCACTGCTGAGCGGGCTGAGATAAGTGGGGGGAAGAGCACAGTTGAGTAGGTGGCAAGCAAGCAACGGCATGGAGCACACTTAGACATGTGCTCTCACACCTTGTGGTGGGTGGCATGTGTTGCCCCTGCAATATGGGTGGAATCAATACCACACTTCATAATGAATGTTCCCAAGCTTGCAAAGCACATTGCCTTCTAAAACCCACTGCAGGGTAACAATACATGCAGCGTCATTTACTAGGCCAACTCACCCCCTGTTGTCAGAGATGCACATGCAGATGCTGGGTTTCCTCACACTTGCAACGGCTGTCACAAGGGGCTAGGCTGACACGAGCTGAGCAAACCTACATTTAGGGCTACTACACAAATTTATCACTACCACTGACTAGTTCAGTGGTGCAGTATACTTGAGCTTTACTAGCAGACAACGTAAGATTGCTTTAGGGGAGGCGTTTCAAGCCAAGTTTCCCTCTTTCGATATGCCTCTGCACCTTTTTCCACCTCATTCAACCCCTCCACGCACAATGCACCTCCCAAGCCATGTGCCTCTCAAATAAGTGCTAACTCTTCAGTCACTGCCATACACAACAGACTTGCTCCACTCCACTCCACCACACCCGCACACCCCTCCCTCTACTCCATTGCTCAGTAGAACTCGTCACCATGGCCCCCCTCATCACCCTCCTCCAACACCACCACCATCTCCTGCATCACTCGCTCCCCCTCTCCCTCCTGCGCCACCTGCTCCGCCCTCTCTGCCAGGGCCACTTCAGCTGCTGCCAGCGCTGTGAGTGTCTCATGGCACGCGTGCCTCGCCTCCTCCACCTGCCGCAGCACCGCCACAGTTGCTGTGTTACCGGCCACCTCGCTCCACTCCTTCCACTCAAAGTACCGCACTGCTAGATCCAATGCTTCCTCGTTGCTGCTCCTGCTGCTCACCCTCACAACACTTCGCCCACGCATGCCGCCACCTCTTGTCTCGCTGTTCGGCCCTGCTTGGTCCACGGCCAGTGCTGCTGTCTCTGCTGTGCCACCACCACCAGGGGCAACCGAAGCTGCAGCATCATCAGCAGCAGCAGAACTCGCGGCATTTGCTGTCACATTCTCAGAGGCTGTCTCAGGCTCATGGCCATTCAAAGCTGTGTGCTCCAGCTCCTGCTCCTGCCTTTTCCCGCTGTGCTGTGTGCTCTGCTCTGATGTGCCACTCTTGTCGCCCCCCCGCTGCAGGCCTGCTATAGCTGCCTTGAAAACTGCAGCCAGCTCATGTGATTGCTTGCGCGCCTGACGCCATGCGAGGAAGCATGGCAATGACGTGCGACACACACAAACAGCAAGAAGAAACATGAGACAAGCATGACCAAAGGCAGAAAGAGAGTACAAAGGCCAAGGCGGGAGGGGGAATGAGGGGGAGTGGTGGACGGGGCAGGGCGGGGTTAGTGCGGGGAGCAGCGCACGGCTCACCCTGAGGGCGTGGTGCAGGCGAACCTCCAGGTCCCTGCGCGTGCACTCCAGTGACCGCGCTGCTGCTTCACTCGCTGCTGCTGCCGCCCTCACATGCCGCGCTGCTGCCGCCGCCTCCCCCGCCAGCAACTCGTACTCTGCATTCACAGGGGGGAAAAAGGGGGGAGGGAGCGGCGAATGGGGCCATGTGTGGACGTTACAGCATGGCATTAACGGGGACAACAAGAGTAGAGTCGGGTGGGAGATGAAGGGTGGTATGTAGAGCAGCGGTGCTTCTGCCTGTGCTCTCTTCGTTCTCGCACACACCTCACCAAACGCACTACCGCATCGCCTCCCACACCATTGCCCCTCACACACTCCCATCCCCCAAGACACGGCATTGGTCTGACTGACCAGCTTCGAGTCGCAGCAGGCTGTCAAAGGGCAGGTGCACGCGCAGGGCCTTGCTCACTAGCTCCTCCAGATAATCCTCTGATACCTCCTGGTAGAGGGACATGGGGACACACATGCACATGCACACATGCACACACAGCGCACACACGCACACAACGTGCACACACATGCACACACGCATGCACACAACGAAAGGGGGGCACGGTAGCGAGATGATGAGACGGATCAACTGAAACGGCATGTCTGGTCATGCCATGCGTGTAGTGGGAACGGAAGGAGAAAAGTGACATGGTGCGTGCTCCTCCATTCCTCCTTCCGCATTCTACCATCTGCCCACCCACTGCAGTGCTTCATGAAACATCCCCAGCCGTATCCCCCCCACTTCAGTCACCTGTGAAACATCCCACCCACCACCATGCAGTCTGCCGTCTCCACTGCACACTCCACTTCCCTCCCATTGCTCTCACCCCCCCTCCTATTAGCTGTTCTCAAGCCCTGAAAATGCCATCTCCCTTCCCCAATGCCTCATACCCCCAATCCCCCCCTCCCCCCAAGGCGTGCCTTGAGTTGCAGCGGCAGCTCGACGCGCAGGAAGTGCATGGCATACTCCATCTCCGGACACTGCTGCAGCTGCCGCTCACACACCTGCCATGCCATGCCCACACATGTATACACGTATGTCGTGACAAGGGGTTAGGGCAACGTGGGGTGGAGAAACGGAAAGGAGAGGGAGGGGAAGGGAGGGGAGAGTAGGGGGATGGGGAGGGGAGAAAGGAAGATTAGGGCAAGAGGGTGCAATGTGGTGGCAGTGAGCGATGTTAAGAGGTAAAGTGCAGCTTCCCCTGAGGTGGTGCTGTGAAAGTGGAATGGAAGTGGAGGTGGGTAAAGACAAGCACAGGGTGGTGACAGAGCAAGCAGCATTGTGACATGTCCAATGGGTGCGAGCGATGCACAAGTGGCAGCACAACACAGCACAGCACAGCATGGCACATCAGAGCAGAGGTGAGACCCACCTGCAGCAGCACCATGCCAAGCTTGAAGACTATGGCCGTTGTCTTATCCGCTGGTGCATGCACACACACGGGGCACACGCACACACACAGGAGGGAGGGGCAGCACAAGCGCATGAGGCAATGGCAGGAGACTGGTGTCATCTCAATTGTGCACACGAATTAGAGAGAAACGTATCGAGAACGCCAAGTCAGTGGGACGGCGACTGTGCAGTGCTGAGCTTGGCGCCACTCGCATTGGAGACCGCGGTACTGCTACCTACTCCCCCCGGCCTTGTGGAATAGATGCATGCATGTGGCGGGCACGCACCAAAGATGATGTCAAAGACACGGAAGACAATGTAGTGCGGCATGGTGCGAGCAAAGAGCGACAGGAACCAGTCCGCTGCATACATCACCTGCTCACACGAACGGGAGAGGGGAGGGGAGAGAGGGGATGCACACACATGGATGAGATGGGTGAGAAGAGAAGGGGTTTAGGGGAAGGGAAGAGGAGGGGAGTTAAGATGATGTGGCAAGGATAGTGGGGACGGTGGAGGCATAAGGACGCCGGGGAGGTGGAGAAGAAGAGCGGAGGTGCAGCAGGAGGCGGATGGGCGGAGATGAGCGTGGGGACTCACAGGCTTGACATCGAGCTCCTCAAAGTATGCGTGCACTTCCGGGTGCGCGTCTATGAGCAGCTGTGATAGCTGGTACATGCGCACTTGCAACTGCAGGGAGAGAGAGGGAGGGAGGGAGGAGAGGAGAAGGAGGCGAGTGGGGGACAGGAGGGGGAGGTCGGGAGGGGAGCTGGATTAGATATACGTGCAGTTGGGTGCACATGGCAGGCACATAGCTGCGTCTCGAATGGCAGCAAGCACAATGTATAGCTGTACTCACCGCACGTAGCAACACTCAAAGCACAGAGTGCGAGTGCACGGGCAGGGGCACAGGGCAGAAGGGCAGCAAGGAAGCAGAAAACGAGGGAATGAGCGCAACGCGGCAGGGGCGCACCTGCTGCATGTCGGGCAGGAAGACTCCTCGGAGGCCGCACTTGTAGAGCAGGAAGACGAGGCAGCAGAAGGCGTCCTCCTCGCCCATGAGCAGCAGCAGCGTCGCCACTATGAACCCCATGCCCTGGCAGTACCCCACCTCCTTGTCCAACACCTGGGGCGAGGAGGGGGAAGGGGGAAGGGGGCGACAGAGAGTGGGGGCGGACGGGGAGAGGGGATGTAGGGTTTGACTTTTGAGGCGCCTCAAATCCCATGAGCAGCAGCAGCGTCGCCACTATGAACCCCATGCCCTGGCAGTACCCCACCTCCTTGTCCAACACCTTGGGGGGGTTGGGTTGGGTGTGTGAGCGGGGAGGCAATGAAGAGAGGAGGTCGACGGGGAGAGGGAGGGAAGGGAGGAAGGTAGGTATGGATTGAGGGCACGAACGATCAAGGGAGAGACGAGAAATGCAGGAGGGGTGGGGAGGAGCGGGCTTTGAAGGAAGTGGCTCACGGAGGATGAGTTGAGAAAGCTTGGGTTGGGTCTGAGCGAGGGTGGGCGAGAGAACGAGAGCAAGAGAACGAGGGAGAGGGAGAGGGGCGAGGGTGTGGGGAAGGGCAGTGCAGCGTACGGAGTAGGCTTTAATGACGTTGAAGAGTGCCTTCTGCCCCGCGCCCTTCTCCTCCTGGAACATGCTGTGCAGTGGAAACGTGCGGTTCACATCCCGCTGTATCTCACTGCCGTCGCAGCAGTGGGGGAGGGCGGGGGCAGAGTTTGATTAGACCAGGCAGCATGGGGAGAGGAAGCGAGTGGTGTGAAGTGATAGAGTGCGATGGCAACGGAGCGGGGCAGCAGGGAGAGGAGAGAGTGTGGAGATGGTGTGACGACTCCGGTGCAGAGCAGTGTGGTTCCAAGGCGATGCATTAACGACAGGGAGGGCACGCGAGAGAGGGACTAAGAGAGAGAGAGAGAGAGAGAGAGAGAGAGAGAGAGAGAGAGAGAGAGAGAGAGAGAGAGAGAGAGAGAGAGAGAGAGAGAGAGTGTGTGCAGGTAGGAAGAGAGGAGAGGAGAGGGTGGAGCGCACTTGGCGGAGACGGATGGCTGCTTGAGGAGGTTGCGGTAGTTGCGACGACTCATGATCTCATCCTGCCATGCCATGCCACGCCATGCGATACCATACCATGCCATGCAATGCCATGCCATACAACCACACGGCGGAAGGGGCAACACATCGGTGGTGGTAAGCTCAGGCGACACACGCAAGCATTGCATGCCATCCGTCCCATAAAACAACATATGGGATGATCCCATTCCACCACCCATGGCAAACCCCTGAGGCAGCAGGATACATGAGGCCCACCCCACACATCAGTCACCCGGGATTCAAGTGTTATTCCGGCAGCTGCAGTGTTTCCCTCCCATGGCGTTCTGTGTGCAGTTTCTCGTCCCCCCACCTCCTCACCTAGCCAGCCCTTCTCCTCACCATGTCCCCCTTTCCCTCCTACCACTCTTCCCCTCGGCTCAGCATGGCAGCAGCAGCACGCACCTCGGGGTCAGCACAGGCAATGGCGAGCCATGTCTTGGCGCGCTGCTCGCCCTTCACCTTCCCCTTGGCCAGCGCTGCCAGCAGCTCCGGGCCCACCACTGGCAACTGCTGCTCCCCCTGCCCCGCCTGCTGCTGCGCATGGTGATGCTGGTTGTGATGATGATGTGGGGTGCCGCTGTCAGGGGCATGGTCGTCCAGGTGCGGGTGTGACCCCGGGGAGGCAGACTGGGTAGGGTCCTGGTAGGGATGGGGTTGGGAGGAGGGCAGGAAAGGAGATGGGGGATGAGAGGGAGGGGAGGGAGGGGGATAAGAAAAAACAGGGAGAATGGGGATGGATGGTGGAGGAGGCGAAAGAGCGAGAGAAAGGCTTCAGCGGTAGGCGTGGTAACGGTGGAGTAGCAACACAGCACCATGGGGGCTGGCATGGCACCCACAGAGCACATGCTCAGTCAGCAACAGCTACTCTGCAACCCAGAAAATCCGTCTGCACAAAACAGGTGCACTGCTCCCTGTGCCTTCCCCATCATCCCTCCCCCTCCTCCTCCTCACCTCAACGTCCACTCCGCCAGCGGACGGCATGATTCGTCTCATCCGCTCCCACATGCGCATCATCTGCCTGCCGCCCGACACAGCAGCCTCAGCAGCCACCATAGCTGCCTCCACCCCACTGGACCGGTCCAGCCGTGCTGCCTCCTCCCTCAGCTCTGCCAGATCCACACTTGACCCAATCGTCACCACCCTCCTGTGCCGCTGCCGCCGCATCCCCACTGCCCCAACCCTCCCTGCTACCCTCCCCCCGGCCAAGCCTGCGCCCCCACCTGCTGCTACCACAGCCGGGTGCAGAGGGGAGGAGGACGGGGAGTGTGTCGCGTGTGTGGCACTGAGGGCATCTGTGATGGTGGAAGGAGAAGGGGCGGCTGGCACAGCGTGGGACAACCCAGACGCAGCCTGGGAGGGCCGGTGGAGCAGCAGGGTCGGGACCTGTGTAGAGGAGTTCAATGCGGTTGCCGCTTTCAGGTTTGGCGAAACGGAGGCGGTGGGGGTGGAGGAGGCGATGGAAAAGGCAGAGGCCCGAGGGGTAAAGCGTGTGGTGCGTGGGGTGATGGGGGGCAGCACGGACGACGAGTAGGGTGCGTGATGGGCCGCGTGAGGGGTGTGTGAGGACGAGGAGGAGGAGGAGGAGGAGGAGGGGAAAGGGGAGTCGTCGTGGTGGTTGGGGCCGAGGTGGGAGGCGCGGTGGAAGATGGGCGTCATGGCAGCGGAGCACATGGGCGAGGGCGGGTGGGCCGTGGGTTCAAACACCGGCAGCGATATGGGCACCGGGCACCTCGGCCCACGCACGCCTGCAGAGAATGAGGGAGGTTGCAGTGGGCGAGAGAGAGAGAGAGAGAGAGAGAGAGAGAGAGAGAGAGAGAGAGAGAGAGAGAGAGAGAGAGAGAGAGAGAGAGAGGGAGGGTTTAGTTGGGGGTGGTGTAAGTCCTGCTGCCTACTGTTAAGCATATGCTTGCCCGAACGAACACAAAGGTAACTGCGCAACACCTCAAACCACTTCTGACTCTCGCGATGCAGGTTCACATCTACACCCCATCCCACTTCCTTCACATGCATTTCCCTTCTTTCTTACAACAAGGCCACAATCTTTCGTCTTTGCAATCAACCATAACATAACCACCATGCATGCACGGCACACCCACCCTTCTCGCTGTCCCCCGCTCCACTTAGGCCAGGCGATCCCTTCTCGCGTTTCTCCCCCTCCCCAGGCCCTCTGCCCCCTCCCCTCCCACCACTCCCCGCACCTCCACTCCGTCCCGCACCTTCTCCCCTCCCCCCTGCCCCCCTCTCCACACCACCAGCCACTCCTTTCCCCCCCGCGCCCCTGCCTGCCCCCGCTGCGTCCTCCCCTTCTGCAGGCCCCCCGTCGCTCCCTCCGCGGCGGGAGATGGCGGTCTGCTGCTGGTTCGCCAGCAGCTCGTTCTGGCGCTCGATCTGACGCCGGGGGCAGCCGCAGGGACCATGGAGAGAGAGAGAGAGCAGAGCGAAGGAAGGGGCAGGGAGACGAAGGAGAGACGGGTGAGAAAGCAAGGATGCATGGAATGGAAAGCGTGTGACATGACAAGACAGCTGCAGTGGAGCCGTGGGTGGGAACAACAGCAGCAAGCAAGCAAGCAGAACACACGACCTGACCGCCACGAGCATGGCAGCATTGGCAAGACACGCAGGTGCGTGCAAGGGCGTGCCGGGAGGGAGGGAGGGAGGGAAGGCAGGCAGAAGGGCAGCGTACCCGGAGCAGGAGGATTTCTTCGTAGAGGTATTCGAGCCATTCGTCGTGCATCATGTTGCTGAACAGCTTCTCCTCGCCTATGCGCCCCGGCGCATCGTCCTCCTCCACCTCCCTCTGCGCCTCCTCCGCTGCTGCCGTCACCCCCTTGCCTGCTGCTGCCACCTCCATCTCTGCCCCCCCCCCGGATATGAGGGAGAAATGACAGAGGCACAGAAGCATGTGCCAGACGCACAGGGAGATTGGTGTGAGAGAGATGTTGTGAGGGAGAAGGGGACGAGAATGGTGGAGTGGAAAGGCCGTTTGCAGCTTGCCAGTATCCGTATTCTATATGTGCTCCGTGGCGTGGTGTGGCATGGCATAGCGTGGCGAGGCGTGGCGTTGCATACCCATACCTGCTTCTCTGAGGGCGACCACCTCGGGCTCTGAGAGAACGGCGTTGAGAAACACAGAGCGCGCCCGGGACATGCTCGCTGATGCGTCCTCGCCCGCCCCTGCTCTGCTGCCCCCGGCCCTGCTGCAGGTCCGTGAAAAGCACACACGTGAGAGGGGCGGAAGGGAGTCGAGGGCGGGGAGGGAGAATGGTGGGGTGGGGGGTTGAGTAAGGATGGGGGCCGAAAGAGTAGGAAGACGAAAGGGGCTGAAAGAAGGAAGAAGAAAAGTGAAGGCAAGAGGGATCAAAGGTGGGAGGCGGAATTAGGAGCTAGCAAAAACAAAGTAGATCACAATGTGCTGATGAAGGAGTGTGGGGACGGCAAGGACGGCAATGGGAGGGAGGTGAGGGTGGCCCACCTGACATCATCGTCCATGGGGCTGTCCTCCACGATCTGCCACAAAACACAACACAGGACAGCAACACACGACGTGCACCACTCTGTTAGTCCATCCATCCACCCACCCATTTATGCATCCATCTAATCTAACCTGCCCATGCGACTTCGTGTCTGCTAATGCGTGCCATGCCTTGGCAGGTGATAGCAAGACAGAGCAACGGTATAAGACAACCCCCCCTCAGCCTGTTGGCATGCATGGAAAGGAGCTTTAATGCGCATGCTTTCAGTCATGGCTCAGTGCTGTGCGGCCCTGGTCGATGCTTGTATTCTCCAAGAAAAGGTGATAAAAGCACGCTATGGCGCAAAGGTCGCGCGCGTGCGGCGCACAGCGTGCAGTGCGCTTTGCCGCTCCCAGAGTGACGCGCGCGCGCCACCAAAGGGGCGAGGGGGGGCGGCAGAGACGAAAGAGACAAAACGGGCTGTGCAAGAAGGGCGATCAGACAGATAGAGGGAAACGCGTGAAAAGGAAAGGGGTAGGGAAGGTTGGCGGAGTGACCTTGATGGAGCCGGAGGGTTTCAATATGGTGAGCTGGTCCTGGCTCACCCGGCTTACACCCAGGGCGTCCATCATGCCGCGCGCACCTGCGTTAAAGGGCGGTATTGAGGGGGGTGCAGGAGACCTTGCTCGTGAGGGACGGCGCAGTGAGGGAGAGGCGACGCAGCGGGAGACGGCGCAGCGAGAACCAACGGGATTGGACGCGCAATGAGGCGAGGGGGGAAGGGGCGAAGCGTGATCGCACACTAGCGCGACATCTCCGTGCTAAGCCACAGGGAACGTGCTTTCACGGCTGCCGCTATCGATAGTTTCCCGTGAAGCAACGACTGGATTTCGAATGACCTAATAGACATGTGCTATGGATGAACCCTACCTGGCGGCAACACCTAACGGACGGATATAAATAGTCGATGCAGCTGGAAGTGAGAGCGGCTGTCGATCGAACGAGCAATAAGAACGCGAGGCTTTGACTGTTATTGCCTGAGTCCGGCCGACGAATCATTGCCTGCAAAGATCACGATGACACGGAGAACAAATTTACGATGGACTTGGACTGTATGGAATGTGAGCCATTTGAACATTGATGTAAGGCTCTCACCAGAAACGGCAATTGCAGAGAACGGCAAATAAGTTTCAGTGTACTTCCGACCAGGCGGCAGCGTCAAGGTCATCAGGTGCTTTTATTCCCAAGCATATAATAGGCTAGGAAGCTTAGGAATCGGTTGGATTGGAACCTGGAAGGCCGGTGCCATGCATGAACTGGGAGCAGCACAATCTACACAATAATTTCTGACGACCTTATTAAACCGCTCTAGTTTACCGTAAAAGCATAACAAAGCGTAGTAGGAACTACTTCAACCGTAATGCAGGAAATGTGAGCACTATGACTTGGCTTGGGCTGCCCCCGTCGGTGGAAAGCGACAAGAGGCTGACTGGGCTCTGTGGAAGTGGATGAGGTGCAGACTCGATGTGCTGGTGAAGAGGGCGGGCTGGGGAGGTTGGGCTGGATTGGTTTCAGATTACAGATAAAGAGCACGGTCCACATTAACTCAGTAATTCGAGGTTTCTGCTTCCGTGAGTCTCCTCAGTAAATCTCTTACCATTTCGAGGACAGGAAATGGGTACCGAAATCCTGCATAGCGAGATAATCCAGAGAAAATCGCACAGATTTGAGCTTCTCCCACCTGGGAGGGAGGAATGCGATCGCACGCATAGAATAGAACTACCCCTTTATTTCTTTCCTTTGCTCTTGAAGCGCACGGTTGGGCTGGACCACAACCACTGGCTGCTTGTACAGTAAGCAGGTGGTTCTTTACAAACATCGAGCATTATGCTTCACTACATTCTGTACAAGCTACAGCAATGTATTCCCAGAAATTCAAAAATACTTGAACTTGTAAACAAGTCTCAGATTAACCGCTAAAAATCTCTCAGAATCTCTTTTTCTATCTTAAACCTGCGGTGTTTTCAATTGAGGTGTCTTAGTCACAGCCTTTGTTTTGCAACTTCGTGAAACAAGTCCCATCTATGTTACTGCTGATATATCACTTATCGGTGGTGTTCATATGGAGTTACGGATGTCGATTTTCACTGACTGCTGGTCGCCTCTGTCTCTGCCATGGTCGTCAGGGATGGCGAAATTTGCGCGACGCGCCAGCGCGCGAACTTTTCTTGACTCCATCAACCAAACTCGCACCGCAGGTAGGGCGACCAAACCCCTCGCAAATGAATCGACTTACAAACGCTTACGCGATACTGACAGCAAATTCAATGTGTAAGAATTAGTGGTCTTCCAAATTGTCACTGTTTCGTGTGGGATAATGTTTGCCAGGTGGTTTTCGTGTTTTTGGTAAAAACAAGGTCGCAATTGTAGCTACATTGCCGTGACCTTACAAGTTTCGGTTGTTTTGTCTGTTTCTGATGGCGCAAAAATGTTTCGTGCGCGTGTCACGTTTTGTTGTCTACATGCTTAGTTTTTTTCGCCGCGTGTCAAACATCTACGGAGCTCAGAAAATAGCAGGGGCTGAAAAAAAAAAACCCTAAAGGCAGGAAAGCAATTCGGGAGGCATCAACCCTAAACACGGGAAGCATAGTGTTTAGGGTTAATGCCTTAAATGTGGTGCAATCTGGGGGGGATCAACCCTAAACCCCCATAAATGTCAAGATGGTTAGGGTTCATGCATTAAAAGTGTGCCAGGCTCCCTACGGGGTTTAGTTCGTTTTACACCGTACAAAATACCCAGCCAAACAAATAGAAGATAAGACAAGCCTTATCTGCACGACCAGACTGAAATGATTAACTCGTTGCAAAATTTGTCTTTCATGAAAGGATTCGAAAACCCTAGCTGTAATCCCGCGATTCTGGCTGTAAAACAAAATTGCACCTGTAACGACAAAATAAACACGTCTGCAGCATGAAAATATTGTTGAAATGCATGTATATCGATCTATTTGGACGAGGTTCGGTCGCCCTACCTGCGGTGCGAGTTAGGTCAATAGAATTGAAAAAAGTTCACGCGCCGGCGCGTCGCGCAATGTTTCCCGAAATGCGTCTTGCTCAATGCGCGTCAGGGGAAGGGGTTGGCCTACAGTTTCCCACCACAACCGACCAGGGGCCAGAAATTCAAATTTGCAACGACGGTCGCGACTCGGCAGAGGTGACATGCGCCTCGGCTCGAGTTCAGCGGCCTAATCAAGGGGCCACGGAAGGATGGATTTTCATGCTCATACCACCATCTCTCATTGCCACGGGGGTAAAACGCTCGTCATGATGAATGGGCATGGAGTGGGACCAGACGAAAACGAAGCGAACAGCTGACGGCTGAGCAACCCGTGTCCGCCACAGTCTATAGAAAGAAGCCCGCGAAAGGATTTGAGCGTGCTCAGGCTGTGCCAAACTTGCTCTTTTTGGAGTATGGTTGTAGTGCAAGCGAGGTGACGGCAAAATTAGGAAAGCAGTGAGCCGACATCTTTCCACTCCAGCTCGTTCACAGTAATGGTCTAGATGGAAGCTTATTAGTGCCTGCTCACCTTAACCATTCATAGCACCAGACCAGAACGTTCCAGTAGTAAACTAGGTGTTGCCACTCGCGATAACTCGTACATCTTGAAAACGGTCCGAAAATAAAACATCGCTCCTTACCGATAGCGCCGTCGCAATGGCGCAAAGAGTCGTCACCGTCTGCCGCGCACGAGTCCTCATCTTAGCGTTCCTTCTTGTCCACCTGCTCGCCCTTCCTTATCTCGCCGTGAGCGCGCAAGAAGCGGGCAAGTTACCAGACGCCCCATGCGACGCGGACATCAGTCAAACCGCGCACTTCTGGTGGCCGTGGAGTACCACCCCACGCAAGTTTACCGCTCGGCGATTGGTCGAAACACCCTCTGCTGAGCCAACAGCCACCGCCGGCAGAATGCTCGCGACGAAGGAGACCTCGACATTGCCGAGTAGACTGCCGGATATGCCGTCGCCCACTCCCACTGTAGCCACGTCAGCCACCTCTTCGCCGTCTGCGAAGAAGAGCAAAGCGCCCAAAGGCAGCGTCAGCACAGGCGTCATGCCGCCCGAATCCTCTAAAAAGCCCACCCCCGCAAATCCCAAGCACACCTCGCCATCACCAAAGAAACCCGCCCCCTCCCCCAAGACCCCCGCGCCAGCTCCTGGGGGAAAGTCGCCCGTTCCGAGCGGGAAAACTCCGTCGACGAAGACCCCTTCGCCTTCGCCGAAGGGCGGTGGCACTCCCCCCGAGAAAAACCCTCCCGCCACACCGAAGCCCTCTCAGGGCAGCCCTAACATCCGTAAGTCCCCGCCTTCGACGCCGTCCCCACCCAAGAACACCAGCGCTTCCGGTCAGAAACCTCCCGCCTCACCCACCTCCCCTCCCGTAAGCCCCCCCCCACCTTCCCCCAAGCCCACGCCCCCGCCAAAACCGCGCCCGACGAAGCGGCGCGACGCGAACGAGACGGCCCCGACGGGGCCGAGCAACGCGGTGGGATCAGCCGACTGCCAGTACCAAGCCGCGAAGGAGCTCGCGTCGTGCGCCATGGGGTTCGCGCAGACGGCGGGCGTGAAAGGCGGTCAGGCGCTGGAGGTGACGCGGTACATCGTGGAGAACGAGTTCGACTCGCTGGACGGCTCGCAGATGTCGGTGGGGTCGCTGCGCTGGGCGGTGACGTACCTGCGCGACGGCGCGTACATTCGCTTCGCGCGCAGCATGGAGATCGTGCTGCAGGGGAACCTGTTCCTGCGGCCGCGCACGACGATCGACGGGCAAGGCTTCCACGTGCGCATCACCAACGGCAGCATTGTGATGCAGAACGTCAATGACGTCATCGTGCACAACATCGAAGGTACGCCGCTCTTGCTCCCGTCGCTCCCCCTGGATCCTTCCAGCGCCGTGCTGCCACTGGCAATCTTACTAGCAATAGCACTAGCACTACTATTATTCCCAGTCCTAGAACTAGTTCCTTGGTTATCGATCACACGTGAAGCCTCCCGTCCGGTCTTCTTACTCTATCACTCTCTCCCGTCCTCCCCCCCGTTCGCTCCTCCCCAGTGTCGGGGCAGCCGCGCGGCGATCTGATCCCGATCTACAACAGCTCGCGCGTGTGGGTGGACCACTGCCGCCTCTTCGGCGGGCTCACGGGCACCGTCGACGTGGGCAAGGGCAGCACTGACGTCACCGTCTCCAACAACTACGTCAGCAGCTACGGGCAGACGATGCAGCTGGGACTGTCCGACGTGGAGAACGCCGATACGGCGATGCGCGTCACGCTGTATCGGAACTGGTTCAACGCGTCGGGCGCCATGCAGCCGCTGTGCCGCAAGGGGTGGTGCCACGTGGCGAATAACGTGTACTCCAGCTGGGGGTACTACGCGATCGCGGCACGCAAAGGCGCCGTGATCCGGTCTGAGAAGAATTTCTTCCGGCCTGACCCGACGGGCAGGCGAAAGGAAGTCACGCCGTACTGGAAAGGCATGCCCCCGACGGACGGCAGCTACGATCCGACGGTCACGATCGTCTCGATCGACGACTTCCTAGCAGGCAACGCGACGTTCTCGGACACGGCATATCGCGGCCCGACGCCG